GTTCATGTACTCAGATCAGTAATATTTGGGGTCACAAGTTTTAACCATGAATATTTAGTGGGTCAGGAGATAAAAAGTTTGGGAACCAGTGGTTTAAGGGGTATCCTGACTGCTGGAGATGTTTATGCTGTTTATGATGCTGGAATAATTGACAGTAAAGCAGGACATTCCCAATGACATGTAAAGTGATCTTTAAATATAGACAGACTGGTAAGTATTGTGTGTGATAGTTCTGTGCAAGCTTATGTCCCACCTGATTGTAAGTCCTTATAATCAAAGAATAATGTGCATTTGTTTAAATATAGTCAGAAAATGACAAGGACCACTTCATCAGTGCTGCAGTCTGGTGCTTTATTTGGTTTCTATTGTCAGATCTTTTCCAGGAGGATTCATCTGATTCTTCTGTTGCTCCAGAAAGAAACAGAGCTCTGCCCATCAGTGAGAAACAACACTGACATTGTTAAAAAAACCACATGGAGGTCATTGTAAAAAAAACAGGGCACAGAGTGGTTGTGTATGGATTTGGGGATTGTATGTGAAGGAGAGGATTAAAGGTTCTTCCCCTCTGTGTCAGTGCAAGTTATTCTCCCAAAACTAAAAGCTTCTTATACAAAAAATATAGAAATAAAAGCAGTTTATTACAGTTCACTTAGAGTTTTTCTTTTTAATATTGACTTCTTCATATATCACAATATAAACACAGATTTATACTATTGCTGTAGCTTTATATTTACATTTCTGTTCATTCCCAAACTCTGAACAACTCATGTTTGGACCTGCTACCATCACCGCTTCTATTAGACACAATTAAACCAAATTATTTCAGGAAGTCACACACCAACGTTTCTGTGTGTACTTCCTGTCAAAGTCAGAAAGTTGTGCCCTTAATTCTGTTCAAGTCTTATGAAAACCCTTTCAGACTATTAAAAAACTCATGATCAAGATTCCAGCAGCAAGCAGTCCTCATTTTCAACGGTGGGCAGCATGAGCTGCTGCTCGTAGTACAGACTCTTGGCATAGTTGATTTCTTGAGAGATCTTGATGGCCAGGCTCTCATTCTTTACATGGACCTGTGGAGAGGAGGATTACAGCACTGTGACAATTGCACTTTAGGTAATTGTGTAYACAGTCACAACAACAGAYTAATTCTGTTACACATGTGTAGTTGTGTTGACCTAAAGTAAGACTATTATCTCACTGGGAGGGCCTGTTGACAGGTTGGTGAACAACAATCATAAAGGAGTCACCCAACTGTCCCAGGATGTTTGTGGAGCTTCTCTGTTAGCCTGTGTGACACGCAGAGGCTTCTGCAGWCATGGTGCCACGATTTTTAACTAATTCAAAACATTTGTGACCAATTTTCTCTCAAAATAGTCGRGTGTCCTGAACTCATCTCAAGTTCCCAAAAGCTGTATTCTGACCCCTGCATGGAGGTTCTCATACAGAAACCATGTCCAGAATCTAAAGACCACACTAATGAGAAATACTGACCCTAACCTAACCACCTTTAAAGTGTACTGCAGCAGAATATATCCTGAACCTGCAGGTGTGGTCAGAGTTGGACAGTAAAATAATGTCTCTGGTCTCCAGTTTCACAAGAAAATAGAGCCTGATTTTACAAACTTGGTTAGGCAAAACACAGACACACAACTTGCTGGTCGCAGACACACATTTCAGTTACTGCATCAGGGAAGTGGTTTGTTTTCCCACAGTATTGACCTGATAAATCATCTTTGTCACAGCACAGTGACAAACTGACTTAAAGGGATCCAGGATTAGTTGTAACATTAGACTTTATTTAATAAAAATATATTTTAACTGTAAAATAAAGACTGTAAAAATACTGTAGGATGTTTAGTTTTGTCAATTTTTAAAAATATATTTTAACACGGACGGAGCCATT